GGGGGGGGGGGGGGGGGGGGCTATAGACCTCTGGGTGTACTTTAATTATCAAGCCAACATCATGGGGTCTAGAAGAAAAAGTTTTGCAGTGCAGGTTTGAAAGTCAACGCATTCAAAAAATTTCCTTGGTTTACCTATGGGCAAGGAGGCACGAGACGTCTTTTATCCAAAATATCTTAGCTAATTTTGGCATTAAGCCAGGGAAGACCCAGTGAGAGTGGTAGTGGTGAACTAGTAGTTCCCTAAAGAAATTACCTTTGAGTTGTCTTCACTGTTATGAACTTTAGGATCTCTCTTCCCTTTCCCCTTTATTGTCCGTAAACACACACACACACACAAAAGGAAGTCCATGAGAAGCATACCTCTACGATCAACGTTAAGAAAGACAGTGTATTGGTATGGTTTATATTAGGTGCTTAAAAACGAGATTATACTTTCGCAGATACTTCCAAAACTCCTCTTCAACTTCCCTGTTTCACACTCCAGGGATGGTTGGTGCAAGTTGGTGTTTAGACATCCCCAAAGATGACGAAAGCTCCCTTGTAGGCATGGTCTTGCTTCTGTAAAATGTTGAGATTGAGTAGAACCTTGAGACTAGTAGCTACATGAAAAGAATATAATTTTCCTCTGAATTACGGGGAGATGTCTTAAGACTTGTGATAAAGCACACATGGTGATATGCTGTTCCTTTTAAAACCATGCTTCCTAATGGCTTCTGAGAAAGTACATTGATCGAACATTACAACTAGTAGGTTAATTATTGCGAGTTTGCATGATCAAATTCCTACCCTGCCACAGACAAAAGCGTGCATTTAAGTGGAAAAGAGTAGAGGAGCAGACCCATTATATATTGAGTTTCAAACCGTGCACCATTGGCCTCGGGGACTATCAAAAACAAAAACTAAGATCAAAGTCAAACACCCCCCCCCCCCCTCCACAAAAAAAAAGGATGTTCTTTAATTGTTGTGTGGTGGGAGCTGCTCTTCACAAGGTGTAAACTGGAATTCCCAAATACTGATGCTACTGATGCTCGCAACATTTTATCTAATTCTTTGAGTGATGTGTGTAAAAGCTGTTTGGTAAGAAGCTTGCTATATGATTAGTAGTATATTTGTCGTTTGCTTCACGATATCTGGTTAGAGATTGACTTTGTGTGACCAACTCAGTGTGGAGAATTTTTCCTTCAGCACAAGCAGTAAACACATTTTTGTTTTTGAAGGCTTTCTTTCCGTAGCTATTGATTCTAGGATACCTCAACCCTCCCCCCCGATAAGCCATGTTACGCTGAACAGCGATAGTTTCTGAAAGAAACTGTTTGTTGTTTTGACTTGATCTCCAAGCAAACTAGAGCTTGTTAGCCTTGTGGTTAGACAACAATTGGTCGTCTAACCTCGAAGGGTCAGACCAGTTGTTAAAATGCAAGCTGTGGAAAAGATTGAGCTTGAAGTCTATCTTTCTCTCTAAAATGAAATGAAGAATCGCATGCAACTATGAACACATGTTTTGGTTAGTAGCATCTCCAGAAGCTTCATAAATCCACCATCTGTAGATGCCAATGCATAGCTTTAGTTGATCTAGTTTCTGCTTGCTTATTGCTTAATTGACATGGAATATATACTTTTTTCCTTTTTGTTTATATAAGATAAAGAGTCGTCTTGCAAGAGATTGTGCTAATAAATCGTCAAGACGACAAGTAAACTTTCTGACTTGTAGGTTGAAGGGACACATAAAAGAAAGTTGAATCTCGATTCTCGTCTTCAATAAAACAACCATCATTTTGTTCAAGTCAAATGAAGACACCAAGGTGCTTCGATGTGCAGAACCTATTTCTCAGGTGTTTACCTACAGCTTTCGTCAACTTCTGAAAATTTATTCTAGACAATTCGTTGCAATGCTTCGGAAAGTAGTACTTTATCATCATCTATGATTCTTTTATTTTTATATATATTTACTGAATGATTATTTGTTTTTTGAGCTGGTTATGATCACTTAAGTGTGCACATGATCTCCACCAGAAAGATTTAGCCTTCTGAAATTACTAGCAAAAAAGTCAATGTCGGAAATGACCAATACATAAACACGACACGCACTACCAATACTTGGACCAGTTATGCCCAGAACTTCATCTTCTTGTAGTTTTTGCTTTACATTAACAAGGCACAGACCAATAGTTTGGACCTATCCTGGAATTGTAGCTTTTACTTGCTATAAATTCTTGAGCTGATAAAGTGTCCTGTGTAATGCATAAATTGTTCCTTTTGTTGATTCTAGTGTCCTCGGCATCCTGAAATGACCCTGAGATAATGTAACTCTATATCATTCTGTCACCCGTCTCCATAGATTATATTTTTGGTATGTGACTAAAGGATTTCCCATCTGTGTAGATGAAGAAGCATAGAGGGAGTCTTCCTATGAGAAACCATCAACTCTTTGAAGCAATCAGTCCTTGTTTCTCATATTTGAAATCAAAATACATTCCTCCATTTTCCAAACTTCAGTATCCTATTTCCTTACTTTTCACAGGTGACAAACTAGGGGAATGATCTAGTGCAACATGAAAGACTTGAGTTAGTAGATATAAGGCTTACTTTACTGAATGGAGACTCGTATCGATATAATGAGCATTAAACTGCAGGATTCCAAAGAGAAACTCCAATTTCAAGACACCTCAAATTTGTGTGGTACTAGCATCTGTCGCGTATCGCTCCATTTGCATATGGATTTTTGTCCCCCTGTGTTTGATCTTCAATTGTTTAAATAACTTTACTTGAGCATAGTGAACTGTAGATAAAATGCATGGTGTGTCATATGATTGAAAGAAACAACATAATGAGTGTGC